ATGGTCTGATATAGAGTACACCAATAAATCCCGAATATATGAAGGTGTACCAATAAGGCGCCGACTAATGAATCAAACCAAAAATGATTCATTAGTCTTGGCGACGCGATAAAAGTGGGGTCGCGACGAGAATAGTGGGAGAAAATTTGGAGTAGAAAAGCGAAATAGAATTACAATTAAGAATTAAGTTCAATAGAACTATAAAATGATTGTTAAATAAAATAAGATTACTATTATTCTTAATAAACGCGTACATTCCTTCGAATCACTAGTGATATGTTCCTCACACTCTATTAATAAAGTAGTCCTAAGGCTACGAACACCAAATAACGAAACTACGGCACCGTGACCGACGAATTGCCTTCTTAGGCAGGAACTAGCGCCATAACTTGGAGAACCCGATCAACTCGATAAAGGGGGTCGGAGTATGAATCGGCGAAATTATAAATTAATTAACGGAAAACTAACTGGGAAACAACAACCCGTGATCGTACAGTCTCACGGATTACTCGGTAGATGGAAATTGGCAGTGGTCGTATTTGCAGCATCTTGACTATGCTATGAGAGTTCGCGCGGGTGTCGCGTCAATTTTTTTATGTTTATCGATTTTCACATTATGTTTTATTTTTTAGAATGTCAAAGCTTACGAAGATTCCAGTAACAATGTCCAACAAAGTGGTTTGAATATGCAAACAATTGCAGCATTGAATCGCGAGAAAACATTCAAAACAAAATATAAAGATTCTATTGCCGGACCGCATAGAACGGTTATTCGTGGTTGCCATCGGATTTGGCGCGTTCCAGAGTCTTCAGAGCATTGGCATTTTGGTACGGTGTGAAATTGTTAGCGTTAGGCGATCAAGAATATGATTTGCGTTTTACTACTTAAAATCTTTGTTAAATAAAGTAATTATAGCATGTCGTTTTTTTCTTTTTATTATGTTCACCCCTAATACAGCTAATGCGAAAATAGTTGCAATGTCCATTTTCAAATTGCTTGATAGAAAATCATCATTGATCCAACCGAAATTGAAGGAAAAATACGATCAAACCGATAACTGGTGAATGTAATATGTTAAATGTCGAATTCAGCACGACGAAATGTCAGAATCTAAGAGGACGTGATACTAAATTCTCGCCGGAAAGAATGTTGCATTAGTCGGTCCATCCGGTTTGTGGTAAATCTACTATTATCTCTTTGTTCCTTCAATATTATGACGTTGACTCTGGCACCGTAAATGTTGAGCGTGCAAATGTCAAGGATTGGAATCTCCAATATTTGAGATCAAACATGGCATTAGTTGGTCAAGAGCTGGTTCTTTTTGATATAACCATTGGTAAGAATATTGCGTATGGAAAGAAGGATGTTCACAAGAGGAGATTATTGAATCGGCAAAACGAGTAAATATTCATAATTTCGTTATGAGTTTACTATCAGGATATGATACGCCTGTTTGTGAAAAAAGAATTCAGTTGAGCGGCGGACAGAAACAGGTTACTATTTATTAATACGCGTATAATTTTATTCAAATACTTTTTATTCACATGAATTAGCGCGTCGCAATAGCACGAGCATTAATTCGAAACTCGAAACTATTATTAAATGAAGCAACATCAGCACTCAACTCCGAATCTGAAAGAGTTGTACAAGACGCTCTAGATCGTGCTCAACCAAATTATGATTGCATTTTCCGGCTAAAATTCCTACTAAACTCAAGGAGTTCAGTTTTTAATAATGAGTCGATCCCAAAGTTGAAATTGTACATATAATGCGAAATGTTAAAATACGTGATTTACCATTGTAAATTCAACAAAAAAAATTTATCATTATCTTATAATTCGTAATTTTAATATACAGTCAATTCTTGTTAATATCAACAAAGTTGATATTAACCACAGTATTATCAACATAAGTTAGAAGACAATTTTGATATAAAGATCTCATAGATATCAATTTAATATTGTCTATGATATCAGAATATTATACTCCCATTGATATCAATAGCTAATTACATGTAACTGTTTGGTATGTACATGTACATGTATTATCTGTTTATAGTATTTTCTAATACATGTATTGTGATTGAATCTGTTAATAGAATAATCTTTAGAAATATCTTTGATGTTTGTAAATGTATAATAGGAAAAGTCGAATAAAAGATCAATTATAATTATGAGACTGGGTCTCTTGAAAAATATAAAAAATATTGATTTTTTTGATAGCGATAGCTAAACAACTCTTTAAAAAACAATCAATAGAAATTATTTATTTGTATTATAAATGTAATATTCTAGTTAAAATGAATTTTATCACTAATTTGCTTGTTAGCATTACTTTTGATGAAAAACATAATTATTTAATGTCAATGAGCCCATTTCAAATTACAATTGAGATTTTGAGTGGCCATTGACAATAAATATATGCAACTTAGTTCTTACCGACTTGTCAATGGTAATTTCTGGAAAGTTTATAATTGCCATTTTGCTGAACATTGAGAATCAAGCACATGAGGGTATCGAGATGTCACAACATACTTAATTGATTTGGTGTAGCGTGACTTTTATGTATGATGTCTTATCACGTGATAATCGTAGTCTCGTGAGAATACTTCCATTCGATTTAATCATAACAAATCGAATGTTGTGATAGATATCGCAAGTTAAAGTCACTGATCGCTAATTTATATTAAAATTTTGGCGTAATATGACTTCTAGGTGCGAGCTCTTGATACCCAGTGGTTGGAATCGCACGAATAGTTATAGCGAATCATTTTGCAGAATTTCGATCACAGAATATCGAGATAACACATTTCAAGAA